ATACTGGTCCCTGGGTCAGTCTCCTCTACTATGGTGACATGTATTTATTTCTGTTTCTGTTATAGCTCTTATTTATATATATTGTCATTCAGCTGTTCAGGCATGTCTGACTATCAGCGATCCCATGGGCCACATCTCACCACTAATGGGCAGCCCAAATCTGCCATCCTTTGGCCCTCTTCTACTTGAGAGTTGTTGGGATATGCCAAGAAAGCCTCCTATGCCCCCCCCCCCCCGGGTCTTCTCTTCTGCAGGTTAAATGTTCCCAGTTCCTTCAACTTTCATAAGCTCCCTGGTTTTGCCATAAGCTTAGGTTTGGAAAAACAGTGTTCCCATGAAGGCCATCGAGCCCAACGCTCTGCTGTTGCAGGACACCACGTTACGCCATCCCACTCAGAGGGCCGTCCAGTTTCTTTTTGAATGTCTCCAGTGTGGGAGAGCCCATAGAGACTACATCCGTATTGGTGGGCCCCCGTGAGTCAGGCCTGGGCTTGGGTTCAGGTACTAGCTCCACCAACTGATATTTGTGATGATTGATTTAACCACAGCACCATGTCTATAACTATTCCAAGCATGCAAAGTGTCCCCTTTCCCCCCTGAAATCCTTATGGCAATCCTGTAAGGTAGGTCTGTATGTATTCTTGTGCCCCATATTGCTAGACGGGAAAGAAAGGCTGAGGAATTACTTGTTTACTTCAAATATTTCTACCCCACTGGAAAGAAGCTGGAAAGCAGCAAGTGCATCCACCACTTTATCCAACCTGGGGCCTTCCAGATGTGTTTGAATGGCAATCCTAACCATCCCAGGTGTGTTGTGCTGCTTCTTCCTGGCTGGGGATGATGCAGCTGGTGCTCCATCACATCTGGAAAGCATGAGGTTGGAGAACTCCAGCTCATTGCTTTCAGCAGGTTTGTTCTTAAGCACGCCTCATTCTCCAACCGATCTGTTTACATAGATCTGCTGCCTGCTCTGAGATGCCCCAGGGTTATTTGTCAGGGATGATAGAAGCTGTAGTCCAGCACAGTTCATTTGCAGATGGCTCTTTGATGTGAGGTTTGAAATCCAGGCTGTTGTCTTTTGAGTCTGCTGAAGTCTGAGATCAGTCTTCAAAGGCAGCCCCACACAGAGTGTCTGGGACTTTGAGAAACATGAGACTGGCAGGCATCCAGTGGGTACCTTTTCTTCCCCTGCTATTGCTTCAATATTGGGAAAACAGCATCTGTTACATGCTTCTCCGTCCAGAGTTAGGTAATGCGCTCCAATTGTTGGTCAATGGGTATATTGAAGGAAAACATTGCTGTTCTCCAAACCTGCTGGATATTTGTTATGGAGAATTCTACTGCCCTGTCACCGCAGTTCATGGGCAGTTTGCAGCCATTAAAACCATAAAAGATGGCATCGTAAAATAGACTATAATCATTTAATTTTTTAAAGCTAGAAATAACAACAAGAGATGGAGGCTAGCAGCAATGAAAAGATTGAAAATATGGTCCAGGTTTGGAATAGAAATAGAAATACTAAAATGCTGAGGAATAGAGCAAAGAGGACACCAAAAAGAGGACAATGCGGGTGCAAGAAAAGCTTCTCTTGGGAAAGCGTTCCACAACACTGCAGAAAAGCCCTTCGTAACCACCCATCTCGCATCCTTTGGTGGGAGCTTCTGGAAAAGGATGGCCCGTGACTACACCCAGAGCCTCATATACAGGAGGCGACTTGGCCCCTTGGTCCACTGTAATGGCTTGTAAAAGCCAACTCTGGTGCCCTCCTAAGAAGCCCCATTCAGTGGGAATATCATCCACCCAAAATGAGCATCTGCATCCTGCAAAAGAGTTTCCGGGACCAGATTAAGTCCAATGCGAGTCTCAGAGCAGGGATTTTTTGATCCATTTAACCCCCAAATGGCTAATGGGGTGTTAAGTGACAAGCGACTCTCAGTAGCTAAAGTGGGGCCACCAGGACACAAGCCGGAGACATTAATATACTAGTTCTACTCAGCGATTGGTGACCCTGAGAAACCAGATATGCTGGTACTTAGTGGACATGGGTACCTCACCGGGCTAAGGTGTTTTTGAAAATCTTAATGACTTCCAGTTTTAAATGTTAGTTTCGTTTCGTTTTGTTTTGCATATTTCATGAAAAAATGGATGGTAGAATAAACAGAAGGAGAGAGAGAAGCACTCTTCAGACTGGCTGCAATCATTCTGTTTACTGCAAGGGTCACTTAAATGGCAGCCGAAGCAGATGGGCATGCCTTCGGCAGGACTGGTGGCTTTCTCCAAAGCAGAGCTTGGTGCTGGCAGTGGAAAGAGAAGTGCCACTTCTGGGGGACAGGAAGGGCTGCCTCATCCCAGCCAGCCTGCCTGTCCGTCCAGTTTGGCACTGTGTGTGCTGGCTGGAAACAAGTCTTCTAGGACTGAGGCAGGACGCTGTGCCATCCTGATGTGGAGCCGCCAGCCACGGAACGTGGAGCCAGCGGGACTTAAAGGCTGTGCTCTCCCACCGAGCCACAGTTCTAATGACAGGACGGTGAATCTTCTGGCTTGGTGCCTCTTAGTCCTCTTGCCACATGCGTCGTCCTTGGGTTCATGCCACGATGGGGAGGGTTGGTCCTACCCTGGGTTCCAGGATGGGCCGTTTCATCTGTTCCGCTTCGGTGTTCAGGTGCGAACGAGCAATTCTGACAGGTAACACGCACTTTGGCACTCTTGCTGCTTTTAGTTTTGGCATGTTCTCCTCCCTGCTTCTGGAGTTATCGGTGATCTTACCAAACTGAGCATCGCGCAAACAGGCAGGATGAAGTTGCAACGCAGAGTTGGCTGCATGGTCAGCGAAGGCAAGCGGGGGCAAGGAGGGCGGAAAACCGCTGGAAAGAGAGGCGATTCCTGTCCTTTCTTTATGGTGATGATAAAAGAAGAGACCGAGCCACAACGGAGACTTGTATTACTCATGTCTGGGAAGAGTCTTCTCTCTCCCTCCTTATGACTTCTCAGGGGCAACAAGTCCAGGTTAGCTGCTCTTGCAAGGTTAAAATGGGAGCATGAAACCGAAGTCCTGTGCAAGGAGTGATCCTACTGAAATTGTAACGGGGCCAGGGGAGGGTGTCAAAATAGACCGAGGCACCAACACCGAGCAGCCAAAAGGGGGCAGTGTTTAATAAGCTGAAGTGCAAAACACTCAGTGCTTTTTTTCTTGCAGAATGAAGTCTGCTGCTGCAACAGCGCTCTCCAGCAATTAATTTATTCTGCTGCCTGCTGCCTGTCTGTCTGTCTGTCTAGTCATCATATGTATGCTCCACCCACCCCCTCAGGCTCATAGTGTCTTAGACTCATTTGAAGTGGTATCAGTGTCACCAAAGAGGACCTTTCCTGGGAGGAGATGAGGGAAGGGGACCTCCCATTCTTGAAATTCTGGAGACTTGGGTTCTAGTCCCCCCTTGGCTTATTTCTCATGGTTTGTTCATCCTGTGCCCTGGCCTCCCCATCTTTCAATCCCAAGAGCTGCCCAGACCATCAGGATTTTATTTATTTAAAGTTTTTATATGCCATCCCAATACTAAAAGTCTCTGATCGGCTTGCAAAAAGCAAAAAACAAGATGACAGTTCGCAAACGGCATGCTGTACTGAGATGGAACTGCAGGGGCTGCGACAGGGCGTTCACTTCTGGGAGCTGCTGGAAGCAGTCACAGGGATGCCGCTTCTCCCAGCCTTACCTTGCAGAGCTGCTACGGGAATAAAATGCTGAGGAGCGGCGCCGGAGGCGGCAAACCGTGGCAGCCACACTGGGCACCTCAAGGAAAGGCCAAGCTGGAACTGAACGAAAAGCTCCCTCCTGCCCAGTCTGAGCTTTGCATGTGCTGCTGAGGCCATTTGGTGGGGATGCCCAGACCATGTTAGTGTCAACCAAGACTGCGTGTCCTGCGGTCTTGGAGTGTGAAGAACCATGATGATGGTGGTGGGGAAGGTGGTGGTGGTGGAGCTGATATCACCACCCTGCTTTTGACACGGTCGTTCTTCCTGCACGTTTTAGCTGTTTTATAAAATGTAATGCTCCTTTGCATTGCTGGCATCTGTACTGCATTGTTCTGGTTTGTTCCTAGGGATTGTCATAAACTGCACAGAGAGCTTTGGCTATGGGGTGGGATAGAAATGGAATGAAATAAATCCATAAATAAATAATAGCCGCAGAGACATGAAACTCTTTCACTTCCTGACCTAATTCTGCCTCATCTTCTGACCTTGTTATATAAAGGCAAGAGAGGAGGGGGAGAGAGAGACTTGGAGTGGGGGCATAGCAGGTTAAACTAGGAGCTCATCTTTGGGGTATTCCAACCACCCCATCGACCACTTGGTGCCATCATGGCATTGATTTTATTTTCTATGGATAACCTACTTAGGCCTGGACCTCCCTGCCTTGTGCATAAAGAGAGAGGCCGCTTCTCCTAATGATCAATATGGGCATTAATTAACAAAATGGCTTCATGGCCAGTTCTGGGGGTTGTTATTCCCCCCACCCTCCGTCCTCTCCTTTCCCTTCCATTTTTTGACTCCTGATCTTGGCCTGTGCCACTCACCTTGTCCTGAGGAAATGTTACCCCTAAAAATAGCAAAGCCAACTGAGAACCACTGTGGGGTAGTGATTAAGAGCACGGAACTGGAGCTCTGGAGACTTGGGTTCTAGTCCCCCCCCTTGGCTTATTTCTCATGGTTTGTTCATCCTGTGCCCTGGCCTCCCCATCTTTCAATCCCAAGAGCCACCCAGACCATCAGGATTTTATTTATTTAAAATTTTTATATGCCATCCCAATACTAAAAGTCTCTGATCGGCTTGCAAAAAGCAAAAAACAAAGCAACCGTATATGATAGCCAACACACTGCATCCGATAATGATGATAAAAACTAGGATACAACCAATTAACTGTTAAAATACTGGGAAAATAAAGTTGTTGTATTCCTGCAATGCTGTTCTGGCTAAATCTTAAAGCAACCCTCGTTTCCGACAGGGCGAAGGTGAAGAAAGGTGTGAACATCCTGAACGCGAAGGCCAGTGACCCCCGAGAGTGGGAAGTGACCCAGGAGGTGGGCAACGGTGGGAAACATTCAACCACAACGGTGATGTGTCAGAGAATAATGCCGAGTTCCCGGAGCAGGTGAGTGGCTTCTGCACTCTTGGCATTCCAGGTCAGGGATGAGCGGCCTGGTGATCTCCAGATGGACTGGGCTACAGCTCCCCCAATGGCTGGTCTGCGGCATATTGGCGTTGTACTCCAAGCCATGTGAAGGGCACCAGGCTTTGGGCTCCCCTTCTGTCTGTTGGGTGGGGGAGAAAACTGAGGAGATGGAGGAGGAATGGAATGGAGTCAGAGGGCTCAGCTGGCTGGCTAAAGCACTGAGCAGGACCACTTCACACTGAAACAAGTGCAGGAAGAGGTATGCAAAGGGCTTTGAGTCTAGCAGTGTGAGTGTGTGGCTGGGACTCAGGAGATCTGGGTTCCCGTCCCTGCTCAGTCTTGAAGATCCCAGCATGACTTTGGTCAGTCTAACCTACCTTGCAGGGTTGTTGTGAGGTTAAAATAGAGAGGAGGGGAAGGACTGGGCAAGCCATCTTGGGTGCTTGCAAGAGGTCAGAAGCAGGATATAAATGCAACAACAACAAGAGCAACGTGGAGGAAGGTAGAGGAAGCAATGGGAAAAGGCTGGCCATCGGTATGCAAAAGAAAAGTGGGATGCCAGCGAGGCAGGCCTTTGCATTGATCCGGAAAGGCCCTTCATATGTTTTCAGAGCTCATTTGGAAAGTGCATGCAGAGAAGAACCGTGAAAAGGAAAAGCTTCCTTTACTTTCTTACTATCTAAAAGGCCACATGGTGCCATATAATATTTGGACGCAATGAGAAGGTTCTTTATATTTTGAGCTGTTTCCTGAAATAAATCCTAAACTGCATGATCAACAACAGGAAGAGGGACCTCTTAGGGTGCTTTGCCCATGTAAGGATTTGGGTGCCTTGGGAAAATTGCATTTCCCAAGATCCTGGTACATCGCCAAAGCTGCAGTCAAACTGCTTTGGATTATGAGCTGAGCCAGAGGAGAATCGGAGGGCTAAATAGCCCTGGAGCCAATGCTAACCAAGCATTGCAAGCTAAACAAATTCATACTGTGGTGCAGCCATTCACTCACTCTCGCTCATTCATTTGTTCATTAGATTTATGTACCGCTCAAGTGGCAAATTACAAATGTTACTGTGACATCACTGATTCTAGCATGCATTGATGAAGCGGTCACGGGAGTTTGGTTCTGTCAGATGCTATCAAGGCTGACCTGTTACTATGGCTGGTGCATTGTTCTTTCCAGAACCTTCCCCTTTAACGAGCTGCCAGCAAAAACTAGGTTATCTGTTCATATGAAGGTTCCATGAGATGCATCCAGTTTGCACCAGCTGGAACCAAATGCAAACCTGAAAGCAATTGGAAGTCCATACATTCCGCAGCCCGTGATTCAATTTGTGCAGCAGCATTTTTAATAAAAGCTAAAAATGTGTACCTTTGAAAAATGTGCAGAAAAATGCATACATGTGAAAAATGCTTGTCAACATGCATTAGTCTATCTGAGAAAAATGCATCCAGTCCAGAACAGGGTGTTTGCAATGACGCTTGTGTTGCCCAGTGTTTAAAAGCCGTATTTACGGGTGGAAGATTGCGGGGAGAGGGGAGCCCTTTTCTCCCTCCGCCATCCCAGTTCACAGATTGGATCCGCTTCTGAGAAGAAATATTGCAGAGAAGAAAGGACAAAATGATGCATAGCCAAGCAGAGTTAGGTTTATCCCCATCATAACCAAACAATCCAAGTAGTTTAGAAACAGGAACATCTGCTGAAACTCATAAACAGCTGACTTCAGCAATAGAACATCACACGGTTGCCCAATTTGGCTTTCGATGATGGTGAAAAGAGATAAATCAACCAGGCAGTAAAGCATGAAAGAAGTAAGAGGGGGTAAAGGGTGCAGGGAAACAGAAATCCCAAGTTAGTGCTTCAAAGCAAAGCAAACAAATCCTTATTAGTATTCGGTTCCCAGACTTTTCTAGCCTGGTGCATTATCTTAACCAGTATCAGTATTCCGGTCCCACCAGCCAGGGATCCAAGATGGCAGGTTCAGTCCTTTATTATCCCCTTCTCTATGCAACCTATAAACATTTCTTCTTGTCTTATCTTTCTAATTAAGTCGTTAAAAGTCAGTCTGGAGTTCCAGCCTGAAATGTGTTTTTTGTTGCTTGGTTTAATATTTATACCTGGGTAGTTTGGCCTTCCATCAAATTAGAACTTCTGACCTAACAGTTGATCCCAAGATTAATTCTAATGTGCCACTGGACACATTTTGTGTAGTTGTAAAACAGACATTGTGAGGTGAAGACTTGATTTTGGTAGAGCTGGGAATAGAAGGTCCATCTTATTATTGTTTTCAGTGTGAAATTTTAGGGGAGATGCTCATGCAGTGTGGATGGTGGATCTGTACTGAATTCCGGGAGGAAGTGCTTGAAATTAAAAAGTCGCTGCTAGTTGGGTCCTACCCAGTGGATGACGGGAGCTCCAGGGCCAGTAGGGTGCACTTGGAACTGCTGTCCATGGTGCTGAATTCATCTTGGCCTCGGGTTCAGGGCCATGGATAGTTTCTTTAAAGCTCAGAGTCACATCCAGTGTAAATGCTCATCTCTGCATAAATGGGAGCCACCAGCTCCCTCTGTCCCCGCACCTGTTGCCTTTATCCCCACCAACTGGTGGAATGAACCTTCCTGGAGCTTCTCCAAGATGGAACCTGGCCCTCTGGGTGACGTTTCGACACCCCTGTATTGGGAGAACATGCACACAAAAATGTGTCTATTTGTAAAAAACACTGTAGAAGTGCTTTACGTTTGGAACGTTTCTTGCACAGAAACAAAATTGCATTCCCAAAACTGGCAATATTTTAAGACAAAATTGTTAGACAAAACTGCAAACCCAAATGCATGTTTGGAAGATATGCATACAATGCCGAGGGTTTTTCATGCAAACTTTTTTAAAAACCAGGATGAATCAAACTTAAGATTGGAAAAATGAGAACTGGAGAGAAACCAAAACTGGCATTGTACATCCCTACTTAGGAGGCATCCTTTATCATCACATCAGTGCTAATTCTGTAGCCCTAAGACATGGGGATTGGTTGTGGTCCCTAGCTTGCACTGCATTCCCGGTATTTCCCTTGGTCGTAGGTTTAGTGCACCTGTGTACATACATACCTATCAAGGTGAAAGCTTCTAGCAAATCTCTGGAATACATCCCAGTCCTTGCTTCCACTCCTACATGCTGAGATCTATATATTCTCCTTGTTAACCCCAATCTTCTGCGCAGGCAACGCCTCCAGTTTTACAGTTCCGTCTTGTACAATGCGGCGTAATGGCTGTTATTCATCAACTTGATGTCCTGGTTTAACAATACCAATCATGCTCAACTCATCCTTCCCTTTCAATTCCAAATCCATTTTCTGGGAGGAAATTGATTTGATTAGTGATCCATTCGCTTAGCCTGTTTCAAGCTCTTGAAGGTTGTTAGAGTGACCTCTAGGGTATCTGGCAGGCATTGCACAGAGCATTCTTCTCACAGACCCACACAAGCAATGTCCGCCCGACATGTTGAGACTAATTTCGGAACTGCCCAGAGGACATGATTCCTTGGTGGGAGCCCTAGGAAATGGCGCTTCCCGGGGGACATCTAAGAGAAGTTTCTCAGGAGCAAGCGTGTTTCACATAAAGTGGATTTGGGCAGCCAATGTGAAGGTTCTGTCTTGGGTGTTTTGGTGAGCAGTGTTTGCCTTTTGAGGATGAATATATATAATTTTTATACTGCCGAATAGCCAAGCGTCTCTTTCTTAAAGGATTTGTGGAAGATGTCAATCACTATTGTTTGCCACCGTGTACGCCTCAGTACCATTTACTTTGGTGCCCATTTGCAGCTTCCACATACACCTCACCCCAGCGACTCCTCAGGACATTTGGAAAGTCAAAAACAGTGGTGGACAGGCTGATTGAATTTCCCAAGCTCCAGTAAGGCTTGGGTATGTGTGCCCATTCCAAAGAACGTCAGGGCACTTCTCCAAAGACACAGCTCTGTTGTTCCATTTGCTTCCAGAACTCGTGACAGCAAGATCGATCGCTTGCCTCTCGTGTCTTAACTTTGCATCTGGCTCTTGTCTGTGTTGTCTTTCGAGACTCAACGGCACCCTGGGGGGCTGGTTTGTCACACTTCTGGGACCCGCTGAGGTGGACCATATTTTGTTGCCTCCTGTAAAACCTGAGCAAGGTATTAATCAAGCAACATGGGCTCTGTGAAGAGGGAATTGTTCTGCTCCTTGCTAGGTATATAGCGCCATATGGCACTGGAAAGCTACAATCCGGCCTGCCTTGTACTCTGCCCCCATAATGGTAGACATGGAAGCAGGAGCTGTGAACTCACATGGGTCATGAGAGATCTACGAATGGGTGGTTGGGCAGGAGGGACACACTGAAGCAGGAATGTTCATAGTGGGAAGGGGGAAGTGAAGAGCCCAAGAAGACACTTTCTCATAACTTTGAATCAGCTTCTGAGCTATGTTCCCAGTGGATCTGGCATGGGGTGCGAGGCGGGAGGAGAGGAAACAGAGCAGTCCTTCAGCTTCACTGCAGTCCCACATCCATCACCTGTACAATTTCATAACTCCGATGCTCCCCAGGATGTGACGCAGATGCTCACTGGCGGTCCTTATTGTGCTTTGCTGGATTTCAGCCCCAGGCTCAATATTTTTTTGTGCCGTCGCATCATGAAGCCCAGCCAAATAAGTGGTACGGGCAGCTCATCCATCACTGCTTTAATTTTGGGACTCAGAGGAAATGGGTAGTTGAACGGAGCCCGGCGTGCTGCTGGCTCGGCATCCATTTCAGCCGGCTGTCTTTCCGGTGCCGTGGGGCTGCGATTCCCTTTGGAATTGGAATGGCACATCTCCCTGCATGTAAGGACCTAATGAGAGTCAGTGCAGGTCTTGGGAAATGGGTGCATGCTGGAGTAAGAAGAAAGAAGAAGAAATTTTAAAATCCTAACTGCCTAACCTAGAAGTCTGAACTGGCAGCAATGAACAAGAGGAGAGT